ACTTACTTTAAATATCTTGTTCAAACAACATGTTAAGATGAGTAATTTCAAATCAAAAGTATTTTTAATATTTTGTATGATGTTTTCTGTAATATTAATATGATATTTTAGCTTTTAAATTGTTTTTGAAGAGAATAGCTGATAAAAAAAAATAGATATATGATTTAAATCATTCTCATCTTCATAAATCTACAGTGAAAAAGGTGATGAGATTCACTACTTAAAAGTGTTAAGAACTCAGTCAGAATTCTATAAATATATATCATATTGAGCTTATTCTGCAGCTATTATATTAGATTTAAAAGTCTGCTTTGACATAGCTAAGAGATTTTATAAAAACTACTGTTTTTTATACTTATCAAGATCATGACATGCAGCAGAGTTGATTGCTTTTAAATGGTAATGCTTATATTGCTAAAATAATAGACTATTCAAAAATTGTAATAAATATATGATATGTGATTAAAATTTATAAGAAATTATTTTATAAAAATTCACATATTGTATGAACTTAAATAAAATCTAAAGATATTCAAATCATATATTAATATATTCAATATCTTCAACTGTCACTCTCTTTTAATTCATTAACTTCTGTTTTACTCTTTTATATTTAAATAAACATTTAATGAATCTATAAGTTTAGATCTTGCTAACTTCTGAAGAAAAGATAGTAGAATCTATATGCTAATATCTGAGCATTAAATTTGTGAAATCTTCAATATATTCAACTGTGAAAGAATAATTTTTTTCATCAAACAGCTTGATTTATCATTTAATTGCATTCTTCTGACTCTCATTTAGTCTCTTGTTAACTGGAATTTTTGTAGTATTTAAATTTCTTTCATTGATATGCACTCAGAGACATTGATAAAAAATTTTAAATTTTTATAACAGAGATAGTACTTTGAAATTTGAGTTTTTTTTAATGATAAGCAATAGCTTTTTGAATATAGTCTTTGATATTTTTATCTTTATTTGACATTATAGTGAGTTATTAATTCATGAAGATGGTAAAGATGATGAAATTGCAAGATTTTTATCATTTCAGTGTTTTTATCATTTTGATGTGATACATTCACATAAGATGTGAGTTATGCAGTGGTATGATTATTGCTCTTTTTTATCAATTTCTCCTTCTCTATGATACTTGTTTTTATGATTGACATTCTTGATAGTGAGAACACTTTCTATATATATTTATCTGTAATTGTTTTTAACAATTCAATATTTATTTATCAAATAATGAGCAGATAATTCATTCTCTCAATGTGCATTCAATTCTATCTATATCAAACTTCTTTTGAAGAGCTTATTTAATATCTAAGTTTAATTAGATATCAGAGTATTTTTTATTTCTTATATAATCTTATCTATTATTTTAATTTATCAATATAATTTTATAACTATATTTAAAGATGTCAATTGAGAAGACATAGTAAAAAATTAGATCTTAGAAAATAGAATAAAATTAAAATATTCTTTGCTATTACTGTTATAGACAAGCAGCTTTAAACTGACATCTATATTATATTATTTCAGATATTGAAGAATTACTTTTTATTTGATTGAATAAATCTCATAATTAGTAAATATAACTCTAATGATGTAAATTTGAAGATTTAATAATAGACACTTTTTAAATTAATAAGAAACTGCCTTTTATTATATTATTCATAGTTATATTGAGTGACCTCATTAACTACTTTTGTATAATAATATTTATATTATTGAAAAGATATATTATCAAAAGATTATAATAGATGATTTATATGAGATAAAAATTTAAATATAATAATATTATAAAAGTTATAATATTGAAAAAACTCTTCAATAAGATGAAATCTGTGATTGTCAAGTAATAATAGTCAATAACTATCAATTTGACATTTTTTAGTGATAGTATTAAACAGTTATATTCATTTAAATCTGACTTCATCATTAGTGAAGCTGGTGTTAAATATAGTAATAATATAATCATCAGATAAATTGAAGTATATATATCAATCTATTAAATGAATTTTTAAATTTATTATAATCAATAACTTCAATATTGAGTAATCTGTACTGATGCATTTCATCATTGTTATTAACTCACAAGAATATGATGATTGTATGATAAAATTGATATCTCAATAAATAGTTGTAGTCATAATTTAGTCTAGAGACATGATGATAATAAGACAAAAGCTCAATTCATCTATCTAACTAGATAGCTGCGATGAAAATACTAAACTGAGAATAAAAATAAAAGTATATATATAGTAAAAACTCTCAACTATGTTGATGATATTAATCTTATTACTAGTTTTAAATCTATATAAGAAAACTATAATAATATAGAAAGAGCTACATAGAAAAATAAAGTTATAAAATTAAAAATATCTGAAACAACTGAGAATCTGATTAGACTCAAAGCTTAACTTTAAAGTTTATATTCAAAAAAGAATTACTCAGATTAAGAGGACTTTGAATAGTATTATTAAATTTTTTAATACAGAAAAATAGTTATCTTTTCAAGCTAGAAGATAATTATATATTACTTATACAACTTCTATATTAGACTATGCAGTAGAGATTTGATGATAATAGCAAAAAAACTTTATAAATTAATTTTACATATTATAAAATAAAGTTTTAAGAAGAATTTTAAAGACTTTTAAAACATCTTCAGTTAGAGCTATGAAAATAAAGACATCAATTTCACCATCAGTTATTAGATTTGATAATAGTTATATAAATTATACTTTAAAAATCATGAAAATAAATATAAATTATTCAATTTAAATGAAAGTATCTAATTTATATTTTTTAAATATATTAAAAAAAGATTTAAATAGAAAAAAATTTCTAGATTAAAATAAATACTCTAGTAATATAAAGAAGATATTATCTTCTTAGCTATATAGAATATGTATTATGATTAAAGATCAATTATCAAGCTTAAATATAAAAAGTATAAATCATAATAAGCTCTATTCTTGAAAGAAATATCTATTATTAATAGATATTACTATTAGCGAACTGTTAAAAAAAGAGAAAAAAAACTATATATACTTAAACACTTCTAGAGATAAATGAGAAGAACTCTTTATCAATATAATTCAATGATTCAAACAGTAAATAAAAACTATTAAGAGCTGATATAGCAGTTAAATATTCTGAATCAGATTTAGAATATAAGATATTTTTATCAAATCTAGAAAAAAAATATGAAGTCTTTAACACTAAATTATTTATAATTTAGAAAGCTTTTATAATAGTTTATTATTAGAATGTAAATATAAGCTGCATAAGAAGAAAACTCTCTGAGTTGCTAACTGCTATATAACAAAATACTAAGATTGATGAGATGAGAGAATGCTGAAATCTGTCTGAATTATAATAACTCATATAATAATGTGATCACATGATGAGAATTAGATCTAATCAGACATTGAGTCTAACACTTTTAAAATAATCTCTCAAAAAGTATATATTGATAATATTTGAATATTTTCAAATAGTTAAATAGTATTAAAAAGATTATAAAAATATGAAATTTAAAATAATCAGATAAATCTTGAATTAATTTTTAGAAATATAAAATTTAAAATAATTAAATATATCTTGAATTAATTTAAAGAATAGTGAAAAAAATTAAAAATAAAAATAAAAATATTCAAAATTACTTATTTTAAGTATTTACTTATATATATATTCTAGAAAACAAAAAAGTAGATTTAGTAGTAAAGATTGAAATTGAAATTTAAAAAATAAATTAAAGAATTATATTTTGATAAATAAACAAAGATTTGAAAAAAATATACTCAGGATATAAAATATAAAATGAAATCAAAGTAAAAGTTCATATTTATAAAATGTAAAAAAAAAAGATTTTCTTCTATAATATAATTGAAACATGAATAAAACTATTTTAAATTATAAATAAAAAAATTTAAAAACTTTTTAAACTTTGATAAATATAATTTTTATAATATAGTTAAAATTTTAGATTATATATTAATAAATTACTTATTGAACAATAAAATATAAAAGAAATTAAAAGAAAAATATTTATTTAATTAATTAAATATAATATTTTCATTTAATATTAAATTAAAAAGAATGTTTTTATTTAAATTTATAAAGAAAATAAAAATTATCTTTAAAAAAAACTTTAATTTCAAATAAATTTAATATTTAATTTATAAAAAAGTTGAGAATATTTTCAAAATACTTTTATTAAAATTTTTTTAATATTACATTTATTGTTTTATTTTATTTTGTTTTGTTTTATTTTATTCTGTTTTGTTACTTGTTTTATTTGAGTTGAAAAAGAGATTGGATTAAAATTGAAACCATAAATATGTCTTTTGTTAAAAAAATTATTAAATGCTGTGTTATTCTGAGACAAAACTCTACAAGTGCATGGTTTTATTGCTATTTATTAGTTAGATTAGTAAAATAGTTAAATCTTAGTTTTAACTACTGACTGAATACACCTTAAATGAATAATAATAATAATAATAATAATAATGAATAGATAGTTATTCAACTCTGTAAGTTTTTATTATTTGAGTTTGTATAACTTTAATGAGCTTCACAATGCTGTAACAATTATGACACTCTTAGACATACAGAAATAGAATGTCCCAAATCTAGTGTAAATCAAATTAATTTAATTAAGTGTTGTGATGTTGAGATAATTTGATTTAAAATCTAGTGAGTTGAAATATGATGATTTTGTGATCTGCTCGCTTGGGTGATCCGCTCGCTTGGGAATTACGTTGGTTACATTTTGGCCTGGAGATGTTAGCTAAGCATGACATGTGACCAAAGCGAGGAATACTAACTAGTTAGTTAGTTGTACATAACTAAGTTAACTACAGATTTCTTATTGTAAGCCAGAACTAAATTTATAAATTTAACTGCAGAGTACATTAACGATTTATATCCCATAGCATAACCAATACGATATATATACCGTATTGAAATTTATCCCACATGTCTTGCTGAGTATGCCGCCCTCGAAATTCCCCGAGATACAGCCAGGCGGTTCCCTCATCGTCGCATGGCAGGCTAAGAACAAGCATATCCTAGTGGTCGGCGGGGGCGAGGTACAGTCCAACCCATCCATTCGTATATACGGGCATACAATTGAGGCTGCTGCTGCTGCGAAGTATATCAGAATTTTCAATTGGCCAGCCCTTTTTTCTTTTTCTTTCTTTCTTTCTTTTTTTTTAGGGGGGGAGGGGACAAACTAACCCAACCCAACCATTGCTTGCAGGTAGCAGCCGGGCGCATCGTTCACGGGCTCAATGCAGGCGCAAAGGTAACTGTGATAAGCCCATCCTCAGGCCTCAACGACGAAGTCTCCTACCGTATCGCCTCCAAACAAGTCTCGCACATCGACCGCAAATTTGAACCGCATGACCTTGATCCGGAAAAGAACGATGGCATAGGGGTGGTAGATATGGTGCTTGTTGCTGTCGATGACCCAGAGGCCTCAACGCAGATCTGGAAGCTGTGTAAGGAGCACAGGATCCCTGCCAACATAGCCGACGTGCCTTCGGAATGTGATTTTTATTTCGGGAGCGTCCACCGGGATGGGCCGTTACAGATCATGGTGAGTACGAATGGCAACGGGCCGAAATTGGCGAGCATAGTTCGCAAACACATTGCGCGGTCGTTACCAGGGAATACTGGGGCTGCGATCGAAAATGTGGGTCGATTGAGGAGGAGGCTGAGAGACTTGGCGGCATCGCAGAAGGATGGACCGAAGAGGATGAAATGGTCAGTCACTTTGTTACTTTTCGTTTTTCTACGTTTACGGCTGCTTCTTATCAGTCCCTTGGTTCTCTGTTCTCCTGTTTTTCCGTTCCCTTTTCCATCTGATAGCTACAATAGGATTTCCCGAATATGCGAAACGTGGAGTCTGGAAGAGCTCGTAGAGATGGATGAGGATGATATTGAGACTCTACTCGGCTACTATCCTTCAGACAGTGTGCCAACGTTCGAGCAAGTGCGTCTGGGAGAGAATGCGGGCGTGACGGTATTTGACGGGAGCATGGGCTTCAGTTGCTAATGTGGTGTCTGGACGGCGTTTTGTATAGACACCAGGTGAGCCCGAGTGGAAGAGAAGAAATCGTATAGTATGGACGGATGGAGTGCATGTACTGTTCATGGAACAGTTTGTATGGTTATTTGCATTTTCCAACGGGCGTTATGGGATTGATCGATTGATATCACATATGAATGGTTCAGCTATAGAATATAGGAACTGGGAAAAAGGAAACACCAAGCTAGCCATTTCATTATATAACTCGAGAAATATTGAAATCTGGTGGGCCTTTCTGCTTGATAGGGGTTATAGTAAACTCACCAACTCCATCCACACAGGGACGAACGTATGCACGCGCATACACGAAAAATGAAGAGATCGAGAGGTATAAAACGAAAAACAAAATTAATATTAAACAAACAGACAAATAAACAAATAAATAAATAAATAAAAAGAGATGCCTAGCCTATCGCTTCTGTTCAAATGCTTAAAATGCAACAACTGCAAAATAGGACGGGGCACAGAAAGGAGAATCCATGTTCGAACCCAATGAAATCTAGGTATCTAGGCAGATGTACATGTACAGTATTAAAGGAGGGATCCAAAAAGGAGGCTTACAAGATAGAATCGTCAAACAAAACCAACAAAGGAGGACGTCACCTTGCTAATTAGGAAGCATGAGCAGCAGCTAAAAGATATCACCACTAGTAATGCAAGAAGGGGAAAATAGGATAAGAAATACGCGCAGGGCCTTTCTTTCACCGACCCTTACTGCGCCTCCTGTCACTATTGAAATAATGTTGTGAAATGGAGCTCCGAGGGCTGACGGGTGTCTCCTGTGGAGAGTATGGTGGCATTCCAAGGCGAGACTCTCCCACGCGGCGGAGGAAAGAATAGAGCGCAAGGCGAATGTCGTTGTTGAGATCCCGGCCGAGTAGATCGATGCAGATGGGGTAGAAAATTTCAATGTGCTTTTCGAAAGTTTCGCGGGGGACACCAGTGTACCCTTCCATGACATCCACGACGACTGGTCTCCATGCCACGATGTTCCGTTGTTGGGTTTCTTCGTCCAGATGGGCATAGCCTCGTATGATATCTGCACAGAGTCTAAAAGGGCGTGGAAGGCTCATGTTAGTGCTAGTTATACTAGGTATGGTAGATGGGGGAGGTATGCCAGCAGACTTACGGTATCAGTGCGGCCTCCGTCTCGACCCTATTAGTCTTCTTCTCGTCGCCTTCGTCATGATACATACGGAAAAGAATATTGACATATGTAGCCGCGCTTCCGCTTTCCTGTTTGAGGAGGTTGGGAGGTTGTTTCATGAACCCCTGTCGCCACAGCTGGACTCGCAGATCTTTGGCTTCATTGAACCTCTTAGCAAATTGATAACTCTTCTTTAGGAGGGCCATGAGGCGCAAAAGCTCCTGGCTTGGTATCTGCGAATAGACGGAGTCATTCGAGAAGAGTTCATTGACAGTTTCGATCATCAGTAGCTGCAGAACACAATTCGTGATGATTCGGTTGAAAAACCGTCTTCGAGCAACTGTCACAACTGCTGGGGGTTGCTCCATATCGGAATGTGGACGGTAATCCTCAAGTTCGGCAGATGCTGCTGGTGGCACATGGCCAGGACTCGTTTGCGAATCTTGTGCATCTTGATCTACGGCATATGTAGGTTTATTTCCGTTAACTTGGGTGGATGCAGAACTCGACAGAAGCTCGTCTTGAGCACCGTCGTCGGATTGCTCCGCACTAGTGGCTGCTTTAGTGGTGTGCTTCGGGCTCTCTAAGTCCCTGGAGGGTGCTGTGGCGCCGGTTGCTGTGAATAGCTCATACGCAGTCGTTTTCTCGAACAATTCCACAAAAGCTCCAACAATTTTAGTCCAGTGTTTCTGCTGGAATTTGGAAACGTTCTGCAAGATAAGTTGTTGCAAGCAATTGCTCCCAATTCGTGCAATCGTATCATTCTCCTGACATATGCAGAGAGTGAGAAGCTCCAAAAACCGATTCAACATGTACTCAAGAGAGTCGAAGTAATGTGTGAACAGTGTAATCATATTCCGTAGTGCTTGGATCATCGTGGTTGAAAGCCAGACAGATAACTCTTCGTGATTGGGCACTTTCGACATCTCAGATTTCGACTGGAGCACGACGAAGATGGGATATAGTAGCTGCCTCCAAAGTACATCCCAAAATTCCGGAGGGAAGTCTCCCCCATATCGAATTAGCGTCTCGAAAAGATAATTCAATGCCCTATAATTACAGTTAGAAATATGACTCGTAATATATGTGTGATATTCAATAATTTACCTAGATCGAACTTCAAGGTCATCCCCGGTCATCAGAACATCCTGGAACGCGATCAGGACAGGGTACCAGAATTGCTCCTCAGAAGATTGTCGACTTGGCTGTAAGGAAGCAGTTGGCATATCCTCTCCTTCTTTTCCAGGACGGCGTTGATACAGTGGGCATTCAGGCGTCTTGAGCATTTTGGGAATTGTTGACTTCAACGTTTCAATTGCCTGGAGAGACTTTTTCTGGAACTTCAAGTTTTTCGAGAACTCTGTGAGACATACGATGAGGTCCGCAAAAGCCCCTTGGGTGATGATGACTCCGAAACGGGTTGTGTAGACCTGCAGCACATGCTCAAATGCCATATTGACGATCCCCTCTGCACAAATGGTTAATAAGCAAAGAGTGCAGGTTTTAATAAACGCTGTAGAAACTTACCATAAGGCTCTCGTGCAGCAACAGCGAAGACACCAAACATAGTTTTCCACCCAGAACGAATATTATCACCACGCGCTTGAATCATTTGAATGAGACAGCGGAGCACCATATCCTTGACAGTGACCGTGGTGCTATTCGCCATAACATGTTCAAAAGGTTTCAGGAAATCCTTCTGAAATTTGAAACCAGGAAGTTCTGCAATTTCCATAAACCGCATAGAAAGCTGGCGCAGGGAATCCAAAGCAAAGAATACAACAGCTGTATTAGTGTGGCACCCAACTTGGTTGAAGTGTTCACCTAAAACATCCCAGATTCTACTCCACTCGATCCTAACTCGGGTCATGTTGTAGTAACTGACCTCGACCACTTTCTGCAAACTGTAGGTACGAGGAGACTCACTTTGGCCAGAAGACTGGATTTCCTGCCAGCTCACATTGCTAAGGGCACGGACAAAGTCAACGATGGCATCGTTTGACAGATTGGCGGTATTACTAAATATCCGGTCCACCCCGCGAATCATTTCTGTGGAGCGACTTTCCATAGCAACTTCGGCCCGATAAGGTACATTTCCATTATTGACAGATCGTGATCGTGGTCTTCTGGGGGCCTGAAAAGACTTTCGGCTACGAGAGCCGTCCGCAGTGGATGGCGGAGTGAGTCTAGCCATTGAAACATCCGGAAGAGCCCCTTCATCCACGCCATCTGTAAGGAGCTGGAATCTGTCAAGTTGACTTATGCATGTTAAGACTTCCCGCCAAGATGTTTTCAAGTAATTCCCTTCGGTGATGGCAACGTCCAGGAGCACCTTCAGTGCTTCCACGTTTTTAGCCATCATTTCCCTGAGATTGCCTAGGTTGGTAAATTTTGCTAGCACGGTAACAAAGGCAACCCTTGGAGTTTCTAAGTCGAATTGGCAGGAGATGCGGATAGAAAGACGGATCCCTTCCATGCAAAGTCGTATTGTTTCTAAATGTTGGGTATCTTGAACCTGAGCAGAAAGGCCGGAAAGGAAAGACATCCAAGTAACGTTGAACATGGATCCAACGTGTCGTGCCGAGGTGGCGGGGATGAAGCGCGACAAGGCTTCTTTGACGGCAGACTTGCGTTGTGCTCTGATCAAACTACGATAAAGCTGTTCGGTCTTGTTTGCAATCTCTTCCGATGCTTGCGCATAACGTTCACCCTGTACATCTCGTCCAACCGTTGCTAAAACCTGCCCTGCCCGGGTGGCTAAGCCTGGCTGTGGATGTGTTTGAATACCCAAATTGGCCGCATTTTCCCTCTCGGTATAGAGAACGATTTCGTTGTTTGCTATCTCGTCGTAGATGCCGGAGAGATACTCTTCGGGCAGGTCGCTATTATCATTGATACCCCTGTTATTATTGATGAAATCCTGTTTTGTCATTCGTCGTCCCTTCATCTTAGAGCTATGAAGATCAGTATTTAACAAAATAACTGAGTATGCAAGAACGTAAGCAGCATCGGCGGTAGCAAAGGCGTTCGGATTGCCAGTTAAGTAGCGCTCTGCAAATTTAAGCATGAAACGATCGATTTTCTGGGATTCTCCTGGTAATCGAAAGCTCTGCAAAAACTGCCTGAGGGCATCCACAAAACGTCGTTTCTTGAAATCCATACAGTCGACAAATGCATGCATTATAGCAATATTCTCCGCATCACCTTCCCCAAGGTATTCACCTAGGGTTGCTTTATCTAGCCGATCATTTCGAATCAGGAAGCTCGCGATATCCGCAGGGGAGTCGGACCGAATAAATCCTTCTGATAAAAGGACCTTGATTCCTCTTTTGGGTTTAAAATTAAACTGCCTAATAGCATTGGTGAGGGCAATTTTTCGTTGTTTCACTTTTTCGATTTGGCTAGGATCATCATCTAACACTGGGGTTGATTGTCCAGTTGCAAAATCTCCGCTATCAATGTTAGGCGAATGCGCAGCTAACATAGAATTCGTGTCTAATGATTCTCTGGAACCTCCTATTGAACTTCGATTGGGGGCTTCGCGGCCAGGAGGGGCCTGCTCTGCAAGCTCCCTAGATGACCAAACATCCAACGATCTTAGAATCTCCACTAGGCATTCTAGTGCTCGCTTCTTCATCATATATTCTAAAGGTATATTCTGCGTATTGGTGGATGTAGTAGATCCCACTTTTGCAGTAGAAAGCGACGGTGGGAGTGTCCCTTTCTGATGCCAATCATGAGCATTAAGGGGAGATTTGCCCTGTTGTTCCTGGTATTGTTGTTCCTGCATAGCCGAAACCGTTACAGGGGTGCTGGACTGTCTCGATAGGTGCTCGATGATACTGCTTCAGTCAGTAAACAAGCTCAAGTCTATGATGGTTAAAGTTTGCATACCCTTGGAACATGTTCTCTAAGGCTGTCCTATCGCAGTCATAATTCAAATATATTTCCACGAGCGCTCTCGGGTCCGCTGAAAGTCTCTCTAGGATGTCCATAAAATATTGTTTTTGAAACATCGGGGAATTCCTCTTCTCCAAAATGGCGAGGTAAATTTCCTTCAGGAAAACCTCCAGTTCTTTCTTTTGGAATTATTAGATAACCCTCGTTCAAATAAAGATATAAGGAGTGGAGATAAGGGATCCGTTAACGAACCTTGAGCATCACTCTCATGTGTTTAAGCATGAGCCAGAAGATCTCACACCCAACCTCGAAAACACGGGGCACAGAGCTAGCACCATTTCTGCTCAGGCTCAGACAGAGATGGGGTTTAATAGCTTCCAAAAGGGTCATCGAATCAGAAGAGCTACTGCTGTGTTTTAATGTAGCGAGAGGGGAAGAGAAAACCGAAATATGGTTGCTGAGAAGATGCTGGATAAGATGTAATGAAAGCAACTTGGATCTCATATTCTGTGATTTGAGATCCAGTTGCTGTTCGTGTGAAAGGATTTTATGGCTCAGTTTGCACAATGCCCGGAAAACAAGGAAAGCATCTTTCACGTATATTTCGTCCTCGTCATCGTCAGCGAATGAATCCCCCTCCTCACCAGATACGGACTTGGCCTGCTTCTTGTTGGCCTTCGCCCGTGTAACCATCGTAGGAGCATTATCGCTGACCATGGTATCATCTTTATTTATCTCAAAACTCTGTAGTGTGAGCTTCTCAACCAAATCTTTGGCAACTGGTTGGTCAGAAAGAGGTTGAGTCGCCTCCGTCGATGAATCTTGCTCATTGGGAGTGTCGCCATTTGTCTGACCAATGGATTCGGGTGCCTGGGAGCCATCATCATGGTCTCCACGATCACGGATTCGAGCCTCCTTCAAGTCAAGTCGGATACGGACTCTGTCATACACAGTGCCTACCATTTGGGTGAGCGATCCTTGGGCGATCAGTTGGTTCTGGCTAGATTTGGAATATATAAAGATGTTATATATCTGCCTAACGGCCTTTAAAAGGCCAGCGCCGTGGACAACAATCTTGTCGTTTAGTACCGCGGCAAGGAGAGACTTGATGATCTGTTGTTGAATTTCAACTGGAGTAGATTCATTTTCAAAACAATCACAGATTGTCTCAATAGCACACTCTATCAGCGGAGGCTGATCGGATGAGGTTTGCAGATGCCCATCGTGCGGAGCGGAGGGAAACGCAAAGTAGGAATATGTTATCAGTTTGCCAATGCAATCGAGAGCAGTTACTTGCAAAGGGATACTCGAGGTCTTCGTAGCCAGCTGTAAAGGTAGGAAAATAACTTCTGGATCAATAGGATGTTGTTCCGATTGCTTGATATTCGCCCGGGCTTGCGCCACAGCATCTTCCAATTCCTTGCTCCGTCGTGCTGCCTTCGAAGATTCAATGGTATCAAGGGCCGTTAAAATAAACACTGCAGAACTAATCGGTGCGGATCGCTGTGTGACTTGCGTTGCGGTGGTTGACCTCGAGTCTGAACGTGTCCTGATGTCAGGGGTGTTCGACTGTCCTGGAACAAAACCTGCCGGAGCGTCTTCTTCTGTCATGGCGAACTTTGACACATCTAAATGCGGGTGCTGCAAGGAAGTCTCAGTTCTTTTTTCACCTTCTGAAGCATTTCCCTCAGCTTCTGCACTGGAGTCTGCTTCATCTTTCTCAGCATCACTAGCGTTTCCAGACTGCACGAGATCGACTGCTATCGAAGGGGTTTTCCCAATATCTCTCTGTAGCGACTCGGTATCTGGGGAGACGGCGGTCGCGGAGGTGCCCATATTACCCACAATGTCCACATTGTCCATCTTTGTTTTGCCTTCCCCGTCAGCGCAGGAATCTATACCTAAACCTTCTTTGACAACTTGTGACAGTCGCCGGGATCCAGGGTCTTGAATCAGATCGTCCAAGCCGACCTTGTTGCTGCCGCCTACCTGAGCAGGCTCCGCCAAAGCCGGGGAGGGCTTTGGAGGAACATTATCAGGCTCAGCCATTGAAAGGACAAGCTGACATAGGGAGATTGCACGCCGCCAGAATAACCGTCCACATCGAACACAGGAATATCAAGCGGGAATTAATTAATAGAAATTCACGGGCAGAGGGTATATAGCAAAACATAAAACAGAGCTATGACATGAGGTAAAAATTCTTGAGAGGAGTAAAAGAGACTGAACATTATACGATTTGGCGGTTAAAGTCAAACAGTCGCCCGAGAGGGGACTTCCGAGGCACGTGATTCTAGTTTGAGTCTGGGAGCCTAGGCTTCCTATTACGGACTAGCCCAACTGCACACAGCAATAGTAGCTTAAATTTTTGAAAAGTTTAACATCTGAAATAGTAGAAGTATAAGCTAAGTGTGTAAATGTATAAGAATCTATTTCAGATTGTACAGTATTAAATTTATTTATTTTATTTTATTTTTAATAGTAGATTTTTTAAACATTTTTTTTAACTATTGAATAATAAAGTTTTAAAAATTCCTTTATATTATATATCTAATATTTTATACCTTATTTATATAATAATTTAAAGTAGTTCACATCTAAATAACTACAGCTGATAAGATAAATAAGATAAATAAAAATATAAAATAGACTTTTCTATATATTATCAATTAAATTTCAATATAACTATTATAATTGTTATATTTATTTATAATTAATAGTTAGTCTATATTCATAAAATATATGAGTTTTAATACTTTTTAAAGATTTTTTAAGTTAAATTATATTTAATTTATTTTTAATTTAGTTATTTTTACTATTATCAATTATCAACATAATTCATCACTGAATGATAGATATCATCAGGTAGTGAACTTTCTCTGAGAATCAAGGAAGAGGGTAGTTAACCTTGACAACACACTTTCTCTAGTTACAATTTGAGCTCTGGGTCGCTGACTTCTTCTACTATAATCGGAATGTGCCTTGTTTCCCAATTTCCTTCATTCCCTGAACCACCTCCAGATACGATAAAACCCAGTACTCTTGAATCTGTCAGAGGACGGGGATGTGATGATACTTGATAATGGCCCTTGGCTGAATGATGGTCCTTCTATTACAAGCCACCAAGATCAGTTAGGATCGGGCGCTAAGAACACTTCTTCATTTGTATCCGCACCAGATGAGGCTCCCTTGCTGTTAGGGACAGCTGGCGGCGGACAATACTGGAGTGCAGACTCACCCCCTCGACTTCAGCAGACTGTTGTCCAGAGGGCAATCCACAGAGAGTAAACAGTACTAACTACGTTATGGGGCTCCCCACGCCGCCCTCTGAATCTCCCTCTGACCCCTTCCCGGAGCCCTCCCGCAATGGCTATCCGAAAAGCCTGGCCATAGGCCGAAACCGCAGCGATTTGTGGCTGACTAGATGAAAGTCTCCTGAACCGTCGATCGGGCAGGATCGATCTTTAGGGAAGCATGACCAGAAGAAGCAACAGGCTGTGTCTAGACCAAGAAACAAAGAGCACCTGTGCGTCCGTCACTCAGGCTTCACGGACTACTTGATTCAAGCCTTCAACAGGCCCTCGAAGTCCACGAAGGCCTTACCAGACCAGATCTGTCTGAATACCGAAACTCTTGCTTGTGGCAACAGGATTTCTGGTCCGAAGATGCTATCAAGCTTCCTACCTTGACGCACTGTTCGGCAGTGGAGAAATACTGTCATGTCTTTCGCTATGTTAATATGCTTATAGCCAGGAGTTCGGATCAGGAACTACGGCTTTGCAGCTCACGCATGTTATTATATCTATCTTATGAAACACTAACACAGAAATGGCGGCGTGATTTGCGTTCTGGAAACCTAGAAAATCCCAAGCAGCATCATGCTTCAACCCTCACAACCGATTATCTGCTGAGGTACATGTATCCGGAGACGTGGGATTCAATGGATGTGGTAGCAAAGAAATCACTCCGAAGGAAACTCCAAGATGAAAAGAGACAGGATAGTCGCTGGTGGCGAGCGAGCCGCAAGCGTATTAAGCCTTGGGGTTTTGGTTAGTTGCGGAGATGTTGTGGGTAAGGCGATGTAAGTTGACTATCCCACTCCACCTAGCTAAAAATCACAAAGAAGTCCCTCTATGGAAGCTTGATACTATTATCAACTACGTTGCTAATGCCCACCCTGCAGCGGTATCGCTTTATTGTGAATTCGATGCTATGGTGAAACAAGTCTTATTATTAGGAGAAACCCTCACAGCACAGCCTACAAGGCAGATGATTAACGACAGAGCCCGTCAAGCATTGTAAGCAAAACTAACCCCCCAGAAAATTGAGAAGAACTGGGTGCATTATGACCCTGCCACTCTGTCTCAAGAACTTATCCAAAGTGTTTTTGAGCAATATGTTTAGGCAGGCAGCTTTGCTGTTTAAATGAAGAGAATATATTGGTGAAACTGTTTGTGGTGAATTTCTGTATTTTTGATTGATTTGCAGTGGCTCATGAGATCTCTTACAAACCCTTCATTAGTTTCTTGCAGAGGGTCAAAGATAGCCTTAGTCAGATATCTTTAAATGACATTACTCTGGATGGTGCAGGAATGCCCAGTGCTGGGTTAAACATTTTAGCAGAAAGCTTCTCTCTATTCTTCCACTCTCTCTCAAGAACTTATTATAAAAAACTTCTGGACAATATATATAGGCAGAGATTTTACAAGCAGAAGCTGCAATCAACCATCTGTTAAATGAGTAAATGCAATGGCGAGATGATGTAACATGGACTTTTTCTTATTTCTACCAATTTGCAAGGGGCTTATGAGTGATCTCTCATGAGTTTCTCAGTCATGCTATGCTCATGGTTAGTTAGTTAACTAATCATGCCGCTGCGCAATCTACACCTCATGTGAGTGCACCACATCAAAAACACTAAAATGATAAAAATCTTGCAATTTCATCATCTTTATCATCTTCGTCAATTAATAACTCACACCACAATGTCAAGTAAAGATAAAAATATCAAAGATCATATTCAAAAAGCTGTTACTTATCATCAAAAAAAACTCAAATTTCAAAATACTGTCTCTGTCATAAAAATTTAAGATTTCTTATTAATGTCTCTGAGTGCATATTGTAAAGGATTAAGCTCTAAGAACTAGAGGCTAGTCCTCCTATATAACAAGGATGAATTGCTTGAGAAAGGGAAGAAAAGAATGAGATGAGAACTCAAGCTTAAGCAAGCTCGCGTAGCATGATCATGTGCACATGTGCAAATGATGGCTAGGCTGAGTCAGCCAGCCAGAGCAAATCTAGGGGTTCAACCTCTTATAATACCCTCTTTCTCCCTCTTTGTTGCAGGCCTTTATGACTATTTAAAGCCCTCTTTACATCTAATTTTGCCTGCTGAGAGGCCTCCCAAGCATTCAAGGCCTTCACTTCTTGTAGGAGACTTGTGTCATTTCACATAGACTCAGCCCAACCTACTCATTTAATGAGATATTGCTTTTTTCTCTGATAGATTCATTCACTCTGAATTTCCTCAATCTCAAACTTAAATTCTTCTGGAGTCTCTATAGTGAGTGACTGTCAGTCAGTTTGCCTCTGACTAGGCAGGGAATCTGTCACTGCAGCATGTAGAAGCTTTACATTAAAGACATTGTGAATATCAGATGAGATATTCAATCAGTAAGCATGAGATTTTATCTTTTCTAGCATAGTATATTAATTGTATTTTGCATCCAGCTTCTTGCACAGATGATTAGTTCTCATGTTCTCTAAGCTCAACCAGATCTTATCTTCAGATTGAAAGCTTGAAGCTGAGTCTCTTCATCTATTCACATATTTCTCTTGAGATTGCTGAGCATCTGTTATTTTCACTTGAGCCCACTTCAACACTTCACAGACCTTCCTCATATAATCATTCACAAACTCAATGAGATTACATGATGTTTCAATGGGGGGTGCATCAGCTATATCAATGAAGAAGACATGGAAAAGATGCATTAAAAAGAACAGACTCACATCTGTTGAGACAACATCTCTATTATTGATGACCAGCTCTGCTAAAGAGAGTCATTCACACCAGTCATTCTGTTGAAAGCTAATATACTTGTGTAGGTAGATTTTCAGAGTCTGATTCATTCACTCTGTAGCTCTGTAAGTCTCTGAGTGATAGACTGTGAAGAGTCATCTCTTAATGTCTAATTTCTCACACATCTGAGTTCAAAACATGTTTGTGAAAGCTGACTCTCAATCTGACACTATCATCTTAAAGATGTCATGTCAAGAGATGATGTTGTGAAGAAACACTCTAGTCACTGTCTCTACATCAGTTTTCTTAACTGCTTTTAATATAACTCTCTTGGTCAGTCTGTTCATTATAATCATGATGTTCATATATTCTTTAGAGCTTGATAAGTTCATGATAAAGTTCATGAAAAACTCCTGCCATATGTGTTTAGAAATGAGAAGAGGCTTAAGCAGTCTCTAATGTTGATCTCTTCATGCAGTGTTTGATCTGCAAAGATGACAGTTTCTGATCATTCTTCTCACATCAGCAGCATAGTCTGACTAGTAGAACTCACATCTTAGAACTTCTGCTGTTTGCTCTCATCTGAGATGATCAGTAAGAGATGAGTCATGAGCCTTGTGCACTAACCTGGTTCAAAAAGATTTGAAGTCTGGTACTCACTTACAATCTTGAAAGAGAAGCTCCCTATTCTCATTTAAAGAGCACTCAGAGACAGAGATCTTAATGCTGAGTTCAGAAGAAAATCTGAATCTTCTCTCATGAAGATTTTACTTCAGATACTGCAGAATCTTGTCATTTTTATGAGCCTCATTTCACTGAGGTTGAAGAGACATCTCAGATTTCACACTGGCAGCAGCCACTATTGATTTCATTTCAAATGTCAGTATGTTAAACTTAAGTAGTTGAGCTTGTCTCTGCTTGATTCTCTCATCATCAGCACTCTGTGGCATGTTCTGCTCTCTTCATGATAGAGTGTCTGATTCAGTGTTCAACTTCTTTGACTGATAATCAATTTTGAAGTTGAATCAATAGAGAATATCCATTCAACATAGCTGTCTTTTGTTTAGTCTGCATGTAGTCATGAAGTATTCTAGATTCTTATGATATATGAGAATCTTGAATTTCTTTACACTTTGTAGCTTAGCATTTCATTCCTTTAAACACTCAATTATCACTAATAACTTCTTATCATGAATCTTGTAGTTGCATTCCGCAGGTGAATGCTTGTGAGAGAAGAAGGCACATGAGTGTAGAATGCTCTGCTCATCATATTGTAGCAGCACTCCTTCTGAGATGTAATCTGAGAAGTTCATTTTCAATATAGTCTCACAGTCAGAGTTGAATTGAAGCAGGATCAGAGTGGAGATAAACATTGATTTTAGACACTTAAAAGCTTCCTCAGCCTTGCTCATCTACAAAAAAGAAACATTCTTGTGTGTAAGAATCATCAGTGAGATTATGATCTTTGAGAAATCTCTGATAAATCATCTATAGAAATTGACAAAGTCTAAAAATTCTCATACATCTTTAAGAGTAGTAGGTGTTGCTCATTTCAAAACAACTTTAACCTTCTTCAGATTCATTTGTATACTCTTGCTCACTTCAATGATGAATTCAAGATATTTTGTGCTGTTCATCTCAAACTCACTCTTTCTGATATCTGCCTGCAGGCCTGCTTCCCATAGACACATAAGCATCTTTTGTACATGCTTGTGATGCTCCTGTAAGCTTCTTGAGGAAAATATCAAGATGTCATCTAAATAGACTGAGCAGAAGTCGTCCAGATATTCATGTAATGCTCAGTTGATATATTTTTGAAATGTGCTCAGAGCATTGGCCAAATCAAAGAGTGTAATCAGCCACTCAAATAGCCTGTATCTGGTTCTAAAGACTGTCATCCACTCATCACCTTCTGTGATTTGAATCTTGTGAAAAGCTGCAATAATGTCCAGCTTAGTGAATCATTTAGCCTGTTCAATTCACTATAGAGTCTTGCTGATTAATGGTAGAGGATATCAATCCTTTCAAGTGATTTTGTTAAGAGCTTGATAGTCCACACAGAATCTTAGCTCACCTCCAGACTTCTTTGCAAATAGTACAGAGGCGGCTGCAGAGGAGTTGCTCACTCTAATAAAACCCTTATCCAGATAATCTGTAAGAGTCTTTCACAAAGTCAATAGTTCCTCTCAAGACATATTATATAGCAGGCCTCAAGGGGGTTGTTCCATGCTACCATCAGCCTTTTTAATCAGTTCAATCCCATGATCTTTACCTGGGCCACAAAGTGGGGGTAGAGCGTCGGCGGCTTCCTTATCAAATATGTCCAAAAACTCATGATAATGTTCAGACAGCTTTTCTCTAGAGTCAATCTTTGATTTCACTTCCAGAGTCTTTTGAATGTCAGTCAAACTGACAGTGAAGATCTCAATGTTTTGTTTCTCTCAAGTGCTCACAAGCCTAGAGAAGCTTACAGCAGAGATGGGAATCACATCAGCTTTTGCATTTGAACTAGGCTCTATCTCTATGCCACTCTCTTCAAATCTCACAATTCTTCAATGAGGGATCACAGTCATCTTTTGCTGGGCCAGCCAGGGGTCATCTAGATACATATCATGACCATGTAACTCATTCACCACATAGAGAAAGACTCATTCAGTTACATGACCATCTATATCAATTTGAATGCCAGTCACTATGCTCATGGAGAGTCCCATGGAGTCTTCAAAGCTGGTCATTTTAACAGGGAGAATTTCAATGCACAGAAGCTTATGCTTGTTAACATAGGATTGAGAAATAAGACCATAGACATTACATCCACTGTCTATCATTGCTCTAGTTGAAAAGGCATTATCTACTAGAGCATCAACAGTGAAGGGTTTGAATATCATCTTAGATTTAAATCCTCTCCATTGCTTCTTCATAAGCTTCTTATTTCACTCCTTTCAGTGTCTTTTGATTGAAGCTACTCTTTTTCCTGAATCCTCACTCATATCCACATCATCATCATTCAGTACTGGCTTGGGGATCACCTTAGCTATTGTGGAGGTGGCAGGGCATCTGGGAGATTTGAACAGACAGCTCTTAATCATATGACCTCCAGCTCTGCATCTCAGGCACAGGCCTTGCTCTCTTCTTTGATTAACCTCTGTCTGATTTATCAATTTGATGTGGTGGGCACTTGAGATCACAGCATCAGAAGAGAGATCCATCAGATCATCAGCAGAAGCTTGAGACTGATTTCATTGATTGAGGACAGCATGACAAAGTAGAGAGTGTGGATTAGATGTTGTATGATCTGAAGAAGATCTGCTCTCACAACATTTAGATCACTGCCTTAAAGTCTTAAGCTCAGAGAGTTGATGATCAACTAATCTAAGCTCCTTGC